AATGTATCTTCTAGTCATTTTTTTCCTAAACAAATGAATGACTCTAGTCAAATTGCCAGGTCTTCAAACCCATGCCCACTCTGAACTTTATTGAGTATTTAAGCACAGAGATTTGGCTGCCCTTCCCCCTCATCTTTTCCCCTGTCACACCCAGAATTATTTTGAATGCTACCCATTTAAAACAGTTGTTGGATTTCTTAACCTGATGTGATGATAAAGCACATTGATGTTAAGGGACATATATTTGTTTTAAAATATATAAGCTTTTAACTTAAAAAACATTCAATAAATCATTATGAACTTTTAAAAAATTTAAATTCTCCTACAGTTTTGGGGTTGGGGGACTTGGTGAAAGGTTTATACTTGAAATCATGAGAGCATTGAAAAATTATCAAGCATTTTTATGGTCAGTGATATGAAGTAGTGGAGTGGGTGCTCATCATTTGAGAACTATAGGAAATCATGAGTCATAGTATAATTTTAAATATTTTATTTGTTGCCTTGATTAAAAAAATGTGTCACTTGTTGTATTCTTATTTTATGTACAATTTTGAAACTAAAATTTGGGTTCAGGAAACCATCAGTGTTCTCATGGAAAAATCCTTAGGCGTTTAATTGGGTTACATTCTTTTTGTGCTCTTTTAACATTACAAGGACACTCCTAATTATGCAATAGGATTTTTTTGTCAGTGAGTCAGTCTTTATGTATTAGTTAATCAATCCTGTCAGATGTTCCTAAAGTGTTACCTAAGAGGAGGAATGAATACTGACTTTAAGAATAGCTATCCTTATCTCAACCAGCAAAAACACTTGTTCCTTCCCATTATGGCTTATACTCTCTCTTCAACAAAATTAGAAATAAGGGCAAAATAGTTTCTGCTGGGTATTGAGAGGGCGGGGGGAGAGGGAGGGGGAGTGGGTGGTAAGGGAGGGGGTGGGGGCAGGGGGGAGAAATGACCCAAGCCTTGTATGCACATATGAATAATAAAACAATAAAAAAAGAAAAAGACTATCACTAGCAGTGATTAACTGTTCGGTTGCAGGAACTGAGTGAGGAGCTCATTGGTCTAAAACTAGAACTAAGGATGTCTTCTTAGGAATAGACTGATTAACTTTAAGTTAGCAAGTATTCATTGTGGCCATTATTAAGAAAATCATTCAAAACCAGAAAATAAGGTTAACAGTATAACTCTTTATTATTGTACTAAAGCTTCATTTAAATGCAAGAAACACCAATGTCTCATTTAGTTTTCTAGGGTAAAAAGTAATTGGCTATCTCAGGAATTTGACATTCATGAAAAGTTCAGACTTTGGGTTTACATATTAACTTGCAGATATGTGGGTGATACATTTTTGTTCTGTTTAGAACTAAAATGACTCCAAAGTTATGTTTCTTTATGCAGTTGGATATTGTTTATAATCTGACATTCTTATTCATACATCTTCATTAAATTGCTTAAATAATCCCAAATCCCTCAATTGCTTCTTTTAAAATATAATAGCTTTGATGAGATATAATTCACACTGCTTGCTTTTACTCATGTAAATGAGTTTAACAATTCAGTGATATAAAGTTTATTTGAGAGTTGCAACCATCATTTTATCACAATTAATTTGAAATTATTTCTGACACTCCAAGAAGAAACCCTATACTTTTAGGAGTCATTTTCCATGTTCAGTTAGACCCCAGCCCTTGGATGTAACTAATCTGCTTTCTATATTTCTATTTCTAGTTTTTCCTGTTGTGGGCAGTTTATATGAATGGAAACACATCATAGGTAGTTATCTGTAAACGGGTTCTTTCAATTAACATCTTTTGAAGGTTCATCCATGTTATAGTATGTATCGCTACTTCATTCATTTGTATTTCCAAAAATATCTTACTCTTCGGATATATCACATTTTATTGAGACATTTATCGGTTGGTGGGCAGTTGGGTTAATTCAATATTTTGTTCATTATGAATGATGCTTCTTTAAATATTAGTGCACAAGGTTTGTTATGGCCATTTTGTTTCCAGTTTTCTTGAGTGTACACTGAGGAATGGAATTTCTGGGTCTCATGATAACTTCAGTTTCAACCTTATGAGGAGGTGCTATGCCTATCAGTAATATGTAAGGGTTCCAGTTTCCCTGCATCATCATCAAGGCTTTTCATGATTTGCCACCTAAGGAACTGAGAAGAGAATTTGTCGTGGTGGCCTTGAGCTTGCTGGACAAGTGCTCTACCACTTGCGCTGTGCCCCCACCTCTTTGTTTTTTTAATTTTGTTTTATTGTTTTACCTTATTTGAGATAAGGTCTTGCTAACTTTACCTGGGCTGGGCTCAAATTGCCGATCCCCCTACCTTCACATCCCCGTTAGCTGGGATTACAGGTATGCACCACCAAGCCAGGCCTCTTATTGTGGTTTTGATTTGCATTTCTTCAGTGGCTCACGACCTTGAGTATCTTTTCTTGTGCTTATTGACCATTTGGAAATCATCTTTGGAGAAAGGTTTTCTGGTCCTTTGCCCATTTTTAATTGAATTATTTCTCTTTTTATTGTCATTACAAGTATTAACATATTCTAGATGCAAATCACATATGTGATTTTAAAATATCTTGTTTTGTTGGTTTTCTTTTCACTTTTTATAGTGTTTTCAACTTTTTAACTTAATGAAATTCTATTTTTCTACTGGTTTTTGTTGCTATGCTTCAGGTTCATATGTACAAAACCGTGACCCCATCCAATGCAATGTTCACTCATCGGAAGTCCATAACTAGCTAAGCATGGTTGTCATGTGTGTAATCCCAGCACTTAGGAAGCAGCAGTATTGAGGCTTTGAGGCCACTGTGGTCTGATTAGTGAGACTCTATGTTCAAAATAAAAAGAGACAGACAGACAGAGACAGAGAGAGAAGAAGGAAAGGAAGGGAAGTAAGGGAGGGAGGGAAATTGAATTTAAAATATTATCGAATGAGCTGCTATGTGCTTTTATGGAAAAGAGCACATGTATGTATGTGTGTGTGTGTGTGTGTGTGTGAGTGTATGTACGTGAAGGTATGCATTACACCTGAATGAAAACACTGTATCTACATTTTATCCAGTCATAGGTGGTATTCTTTGGTACAAATCCTGGATGTATCCCTCATATGTTGTTTGATCCTTGGCCAGTTTACTTTCTTTTTCTACCTTGAGTTCATTAGTTGTGAATCGAATTCTGTACCATACTCATATGTATTTAGAAAACATAATATTGGAGAGCCATTCTTATGTGTCAGCCAAGACTATTGAAACTATTGATAAAAAAGATAATGTGAAACCACCATGAATACTGCTAAATCCGTGGATTAAATTCTATTTTAAAATATTTTATTTAGTTATTGAGTGACAATGTTATTCTTTCAAAACGGAGTGCAGTATTCTGGTGATTTTTTAATTTTTTCATCTACTTTGGTTTCCTTTTTTCCTGACTTTTTTATTTTAAAGACTTTTCCAGCTAACTTCAAATTATGGATCACCTACTTCTTTTATTTATTGCTTTTTTCTTGATTATTAGGCATTTATTTCTTCCTTCATGTGTCTATAAATTTGGTTGAGTGTTGGACATCTTATATAAGAGATGATTTATGAGAAGATGAAATGAAGATCTTTCAGTGTGCTAGAAATGTATCACAGTGTCCTCAAGTAGCAAATGTCATTACTTTTACAACTATTATCAGTGTTCTAAAGTCAGCAAGAATTTGTGTTTATGTCTGAGTCGCTTCTTCAGAGGAGCAAATGTTCTTAAACACCTTGAAAACTATCTTAAATATTCATCAAGGGAAAAATAAACACATCAATTTCATATTGGCAAATCCATTGTGCCCACTATTCTTATTTTTAGAGCAGTATTAATTACACTTACAGAAAAACTCTGACAGTGCTACAAAGACTAACCATCTGTACCTGCTCATATTTTCCCAATTAATCTTTCACATTGTTGTGGAACCTTTGTCACAATTAATGAAACAATATTAGTATATCATTTTAACTAAGACCCCAGTTTATTCAGGTTTCCTTAATTTTCACATAATGTCTTTTATATTTTCCATGATTCCATCTAAGATATCATATTATATTTTTGTGATGTCTTCTGAGGCTCCTCTTGACTGCTACAGTTTTTCAAATGTTTCTTCTTTTTTTAATTTTTATATACTTGGCAGTTGTCAGGAGTACTGATCAAGTCTAATTCTTTCTTATAATTCGAGGGAAAAATATTCCTAAGTATTTGGCTTATGATTCATTCTTTCTTTAATAAGTAATGGTATGGTTGTCCAATTAATGAACAAATTAGGTTCCTAAGATTATTGACAAAATGAGAGGCATATTCTAAGCAATTGTATAATAGTCAAGTGTGGATAAAACAGTGAGGGAAGATGAAGTTGTTGCAGTCCAATCTGGGAGTCCCTCTACATTGGCTTCATCTGCATGTTTTGTTCATTGGATGCTCTTGACAGATGTTAATTAGCACAGAGTGTCATAAAACAAGTGTCCCTAGACAAGCCAGATGAGTGAGGACAAAGAACTCTGACTGCTTTTAATATACTTGTGTGGAGGTTGACCTGAATATAACTTTTTGTTGTTGCCTTGAAAGTTAGATTTTTTGGCTTGTTCAAGCAGTGCTACCTAACTTGACTGTTAAAAATGGAAAGAATAATTTTGGACAAGATACAGTTGGATGTCTTATTAATGAAAACAATTTACACAGTATTTCTTTTTTAAATTTGGGTTTTCTAAAATTAAATGATTCTTTTTTCATCAATATACTCTGTCTGAAATAATCCCTATGAGTTAGGAACTCTGCTGGTTTTTAGGTGATGGTTCCTGATGGTAAATGTTTTGAAGTATTGTGGATCTTACATGCAATTTTACCTCTTGATCTTTAATCTAGTTTGTTACTAGAAGAAATGATAGATTTGTCATAATTTGATTATTGAGGCACATTATTACATAATAAATATTTTGCTTATTTTTGCAGAACTATTATGGAGCTGCTAAGATGATTTTTTCTGACAACCCTCTTGGTCTTACTTGTGGAATGGTCTGTCCAACCTCTGATCTTTGTGTAGGAGGATGCAATTTGTATGCCACTGAAGAGGGACCAATTAATATTGGTGGACTGCAACAGTTTGCTACTGAGGTATGTGAGAGGTACACATGGCTTTCCTTCCCTGTCACCAAGCACACAGTCTTAAATTAATTTTAATCCTTGGTGCTTTGTTGATATTCAACATTTTTAGTGTGATGCACAGCTAAAATATGAGTGTTTTGTTCACAAGCGTTAGTTTTATTCAACAACTTGGCTGTAAAAATGAAAGTTTATAAAACCATATGGCAAATTAGTTGTAATCCCAGCAGGTTATTAAAATACTTAGACTGTAAGTATATAAATTAGATGATCTGGAAACAGAACTTGTTCATTAACTTAATATTGAAGTATAGGAAGAAGACCTGATTATGAAAAGGCTGTCTTCCTTAACTGATCCTTTTCCCTGAAACTCTCTGTGATTATTATAGCTTGAAATAATATCAGCAGTATTTTTAATATTCTTTGAGTAAGAGAGATTAAGGAATTTTCAAGATTCCTGAAACTGAATAATATTATTTAACAACATTAAGAACATAATTAGTTTTTTGAACTTAGAGATTAGATAATTTATAATGAAATGAAAGGAGTTTTTTGTTGTTGTTTGGTTTGTCTTTTGCTATTTATCCCATAAGTTTTGGTCCTGGCTTTCTCTTTTTATAAGCCCTTTGTAAATGACTGACTCTTTGGGACATCCTTATGCTCTTGGTGGGGTCTCCAATTTGGAGTCAACAAGAAAGTCAGAGCTCATGTATCATTTGAATGATCAGCTTTTGTAGGGGTTACAGTAAGATTTTACAGTCTTGAGGGACTAGTTGGCTAGAAGACTGAATTAAATGCTTGTCTATGCTAGACTTTTAGTTAATGACTTACCTATCTGGTTTTGTCAACTTAAATGCACTGTACTATTTTTCCTTTAGGACCCTTCCCATAATATCCCTCAAGCTTAAGTCTCACTTTGCTTTTAGTAATAAATCAGGGTTATTCCCTTCCTGCTTTCTGACAGGTTAATTCTAAGGAAAGACTCTTGGGAATAAGAAAATAGAAACAATTTGAGGTTGTGAGTTGTTGCAATAAATTCTTGGATTTAATTTCTTTTCTTACCAAATTCAAGACCACATTAGGCTTACCTGGGCAGTATAGGGCATAATCTTTACAACCTGAGAAAATCCTTAGTTGATTTAGAAGATTCACCTTAATTCCATCCCCCATCTTCCTCTCGGGACTCATTTGCCTCTTCACTAAACCAGAGCAAGCTTGTATGAGGCACAGTGAAGACCCATAGAGTATGTATATGAACTAATGCCACACTTCAAAACACAGTGAGATAAATGGTGTCATTAAGGAGTCTTTGATATGGGTACAAGAAAGTAAAAGAGACAGAGAGATAGAAAGGGAGTTGGGGAGAGAGAGAGAGAGATAGGAAAACATTATCCTTCTGGGAACTCTTACTTGGTTTTAAAGAAATTTTATTACCCCTTCCCAAAGCATGGTCTATTTATTTCATGCTGTATAGGAACCCACACTGTTATACAGAATTAATTAGAACCTCCTTAAAATTTAAGTGTGGCCACACCTACGACTGCCTTTAAGGATCACGTAATGAAGTGTTAAGGGTAGCTAGGACTGTAATACCCATGAACCAAAGAAGTTTGCAAATAAGGTATTTTTCTATTTCACTTCAGATATACTTTGTGTGACTATGATTTCAATATCAAATACTAAGTAAAAATATCCACATGGAAACTACCTGAAGGAGCTTTCATTATTTTTTTCTTTACAGTGGCCAGTGATCACAAAATATTTTAGTCCTATTTTCTAGGTTGTATTGGGGTTTACTTAAATTTACCTACTGTTAAAGTTGTTGTGAAGACAAGAAAACATGAGCAGTGTCAATATATGTGAAAAAACCTGTAAAATGTAAAATACTATTATTCTTTCAAAATAGTGAGCTATTGACAAAAGCATTTAACTTAAAGTGCAGCGTGGTGCAAATAGCTTTGTTTTGATTGATAAAACAATGATTGATTTTTGACCTTTAAAGGAATACAAATCTATTTTTCAACCAAATTAAGTAAAGGTTAGGATAACAGAGTAAAATAAGAAAACGTTTTGCAAAATTGTTTTTCCTGTTATTTCTAAGTGATTTTTAAGATATCAGTTCTGTAGTCTGCTCTTCTTGGTGAATTCCACACTTTGTACTTCTCCATCTGAACATGAGCCTGAGTTTCAGCTTGAGACTGCAGTAGGAAGGAATGACCCACACAAAGGATAAGGCCAGCTGCCTTTTCAATTTTTTATTTATTTATTTTTTTGCCTGTGTTCTCATTACTTGTCAACCTCTGCTCATGTCACATGTGCAGCGTGATATCTGTGACCTTCCTCCAGATACTGCTGTGTGTCTTGCAGTAAAAAGGCCTGACATGGATTCTGACTGACTCTGTAGGAGGCAGTTTTTCCTCATAATAATATTGTAATCCTAAAATGGTGCAGCTTCAGTAAAACAACTTGGAAATAATAGCTTGGTATGGATTTTATCAGTCTCTTGATAGCTTTTAGATTTCTCTGCACAAGTACAACCCTTGAAAGTACTATTTGAAATAATATTTTAGTACTTAATTGCATTTGTAAGAAATCATATGTTCAGTACAATTAGTAGACTAACTAAATTCTTATTCCCTTTCAAATTTAATTAATGAGTTGCAGTAAAAAGGAAAACAAATGAGAATGCATTTCTATCCACTTCCTAAAGTTTGAAAAAAATGATTTTAAATAGAAAATTAGTTGTGTGTCATATCAGTTCTATTGATATTAGGGAGTTGTGGGGGCAGCTAAGAAAAATTAAAATTAAAATTCCAAGTTTCTGAAGTTTGGCTAAAATGAACTGAGAGCCAGAGAGTGATACTTAAGGCTACTGCCTCAATTCTGAGTTTCCAGGGAAGCTTTAAATTACGAAATCAGTAACGAAACACAGAATTTCACAATAACCATTCTATATATCTCTCTGATATCTACTCAATGTATTATCTATTATTGTACGTACTTGTTGCCACCATACATTTACTTAGATCTCATAATTTTACTTAAGAATAGAACTGACAAGTGGAATCACAGACTAACTCAAGTGACTCACTGAGAAAATTTACTCTTAGCTTTTCCTTAAATTGTAGGTCTCAGTAATATTTTAAAAAATCATCTCAAATTTGACAGTGTTCAGTTCTTGTCCATTAACATAGGCTGCTTGCAAAAAAAGCATGACATTTTTCATGTAATTGAGAAAAATCTATTTTGTGCTTTGCTTCAAGTTAGTCATAGAGAAGAGATAAAACACCTTCTTATTCCTTGCCTACAAAAACACTGATTAATTGTTGAATCTGGTCTGTGGTTTAAGTGTTTTCTAAGACATTTGTAGAGTGAGTATGGGTTTTCCCAGTGAATCTTGAATTTTGGAAGTACTTTCATGTGATTTGGGGTCAGTTAGCTTTTCTCTTACTGAATTTTTAAATTTCTGTTCTTGGCTCATTGTGTGGAAAATGCTGTGGTGAAAGGATCAAATACATACGCTCTATGGTATCTGCCTGTTTTCCCCATGAAAAGCAAGCTAATGCCATTTGTAGGCTATTTTTTTCCAGACTGACTTGTAATGCCTTTACTTCATGTACCATAGTTATGTGTATGAATTTGTCAGCTTTTTTTTGGGAAGGAGAGAAGTGGGGACTCCTTGTCCTTTTGCATTGATCTATTTGTGAATCCATGCTCGGATACAACTGCACTGCTTACCATGGTCTTGCATTTTGTTATCTTGTAGGGTGTTTTTATTCTCACACTCATTTTTTCAGAATTTTATTGACTATCCCTGGACCTTTGCTCCACAACATGAAGATAGAGTTAGGAAATGATGGACTATATCTTTCTAAGGATCTATATGCATGTATTTCTACATTTTTACCATAATTTTTTGGAGGTGCTGGGGTTTGAACTCAAGGCCTTGTGCTTGCTAGGCTGGGGCTCTGCCACTGAGCAACACCCCTAGCACTTGTATTTCTGCATTTTATTGAGGATAGATACTGTTCAAGTCAAACTGATCAGTGCTTATCATCCAATAAAACACACCAGTACAACTCAAAAAGTCAAGTGTTCTGAGACAAAATTAGGGAACATTCAACAATTACTTAAGTTACATTAACATTTATGTTCACTTAAATACTACAATAAATAATTTGAAGAGGACTGGCAGAGTGACTCAAGGGTAGAGAGCCTGCCTAGCAAGTTTGAGGCCCCGAGTTCAAATCCTAGTACTGCCAAAATTATCACTACTACTACTACTAATAACTTAAAGAGTTGTCAATGAAGAAGAAACACTCTCATTCAAGTTAGTGTAGTATTATTATAATAGAGCAAATTTTATTTTTACAATACCTTCATCTTGAATATGGAGATCATTAAAGATTAGCTTTTAACTTTTACAATTATATTTAGAAGACTATAAAATATATGTCCTAATGAACAACAGAGATTACATGTCCTCACCTAATAAAGTAGAGAAAATAGGAAAAAATTAAGTGCAAGACTCAAAATAATCATTAAATGCTGAGCATTTGTGCGTAAACTGAAATGTAACATTGAATGTACGCTATCTGTGTGTTGTGTGGATTGTTTTATAAATAACATAATCAAGTGACTGAGATAAGGTGGAGATTGAGGAGGCTATTGTGAATAATTAGTCCATTGGAGCAGATGCTAGGACAATCCCAGGTAAATGGGTTTGGGTAAATACTCAGTGTAATAAGCCATCTGTAGGTAAGATTCAACTAACCAAACACTGAACATGGATTAGACCTAAATATTGTTGTACAGAGCTTCTAAAATATAGGTCTTGGTTCACTATACACCAATCAATAAACATGATAGAACACATCAACAGAGTGAGAGACAAAAGCCATATAATCATCTCCATAGAGACAGAAAAGTCATTTAATGAAATACAGCTTTCTTTCACAATAAAACCTCTCAGAAGACTAGGTATAGAAGGAACATACCTCAGTATAATAAAT